CCCCCCCCCCAGACCACTGCAATGCCTGCCTGTGTTTTTATAAAGACGTGATTCAGTTTGAACCACGTTGGCTGCTGAAAAGACTGAAAGTTATGACGTTTTAATTGTTTTGCTAATACATAATTGTCTCTGAACTCTGAAAGCTACTTCTTTGTAAAGTAAAAATACTTCATAGCATTAAAACTCTGACGCACCATCGAGACGGATGCAAGTTACAGAAAACGTGGCGTCGCATGCTGCTTTGCCACTGAGCGTTCCGACATTTAGAGAAGGAGAACCTAAATCACTAGCACAACCTCCTCTGGCTCTTTGTGAGTTCACTCCGATCTGCAGAGCCAAGCTCCTTTTGTTCAGTCAGCCGTGTTAGAAAGGAGCTGCTTTTGCTGAACGAGTCTGAGGCACCAGGCTCATTATACGAGCTTTAACACTGAACAAAGTCTGGCCGAGCTCAGCAGATGCTCGCAAGGCCTTTCCTACTACACTCCAGAAATACCAAGCCTGTACATCGAGTAGCAGATATTTCCCCAGTTGTATTAGAACCCTTATCCATGGCTTTAAAACCATACAGTAATGTGAGTTTGTCTTTGAAAGCTTTCGTCAGTATTTCCATAGTCATGAAAGAGTTTTTATTTTTGTGACAACTTGTCTCCTATTTGTATTCTGCATTATCAATGGGTCTGTTTGCACTGGGTGAATGTGTCTTTTTTTGTATCTCGACTTCAGGCTCCCGTTTGATTGGCTGGTGGTTAGTTGTCACATATACATTCTCAAAGTCTCATTTTTTGATGGCGTGTTGGACAAAACCCTGCTGTTTGTTCTGATCTGTGGTTGGCAGGAGAAGGAACTCAACTGTTTACACTAAATGATGATATCTGTGGTGAGTGATGTGGTATGGGACGCAGCACTGAAGCTGAATCATATCAGGGGGTGTTATTAACGATGGCTTCTCATTCTCATTCAACGTTGGGGTAATATCACTATCCTATTCATATCCTACTTTTTCTATATTCAGCATGGTTCATTCAGTAAGTCCCGTACCCTGACATGCTAAACACATTGTATCATTTATGAGGTGCAAAATAAAGGAAGATAAGTTCAGCCTAGCACACAGCATATGCGTAAATATGCACATGTAAAACTGAAAAGTCATGCTGTTTAGTTTGCTAGACGCACAGTGTAATCAAACAACAGCTGTTTTTACAAATAATTGCAGGTATCGATGGCAAAAACGACATCCATAAGAGGACTAGAGCATTATACAACAAAACACAGGACATTGGAATATAATAAAATATCTGAAGCAGGACTTGAGGTAACAGAGGCTAGACTAACACACTGTTAAACTTGTAATGATATGTGTAGGAAGTAGCAGAACATCAGTGCTAATGATGGATTGTGTTGACTGTGTATGATTATTTGATGTTGACTGGTTAAATGTGGGTACGCTTGGTTGATCAAAGTATGATGGTCCTGTTTCATGGCTCAACTCAGATGCTGTAATTATAGAATCTTAAATGGGTGTCACGTTACAGGGAATGTAGTTTTACATTCAATCAATCAAGACTTCTTCAATTCTGTTAAGTGTTTTTTCTTAGCCTCCTGCTGTTTGACTCATTGAAGTACAATCATGTGGAGAGGGGTTGTTTGACAATGTACAAACATGTGAAACTGATAAGGGTTTTACTAACTCTTGTTTGCAGGAGATTTACGCAGAAAACGTGAACATTGTGTGATTTTGATTGAATATTCTTAACATGATGTTCGTTCACTTAATTATCATTCAAATTGCCAGTTGATAAAAATTGTGTTTCCTACTCTCCTAGGAGAAGGTAGCCTCAAGAACAAATGTCCTTCAGCTTTATAAACGGAGTATAAAAGTTATTATTAACAATATATAGATGGAATGTTTTTTTTATTAATGTGTCATAATCTTTAATGTCTTATATCTTTAATGTCATTCTTTTACATAATAAACTTGATTAAATTAAAGCTATAGATTTTGATTGTCTTTCACTGTCAGTTGGATGTCTCTTGTATGCACACAACTAGCAGCCAGGTATAGAGGACAGGATATGACATAAGTAACACATAAATACAGGGATACAAGAATGAATCCATTTGAAAAAAAAATGAAATAAATAAGTGTGGAAATAAATAAACACACGGAGAAAAGAAGAAAGAAATGTTGTTAATGTTGTTTTGCTTGGTAGCCTTGTATTCTGTGGATATGACAACATTTATAACAAATGCACTTTCAACTGATCTGAAAGTTTCAACAACTGCACATGTCTTTAACAATATCTTTGAGTTGCTATCATATTTTAATTCACTTCCTCTGACCAGTCCCAATTTTATTTGGAAGATTTGTGTCAAGTGTTACATAGTGCAAGGAGAAACACAGTGACTCGACTTCTCTCTTCAATAAATATCTCAAAAGCTTACAGCACCGGGAATGTCCGGCGTATTCATGTTCTGTATAAACCTTAAAGCCCCCTGAGACAAAAGTACAATTTGTGATATTGGGCTAAATAAATAAACTTTGATTGACATTGATTGATAGATTTAGCCTAATAGGTACACTTCACTCCAGAGCCCTCAAGAGCCAGATATTAATGTTCATTAGCGTCAAAAATGGTGTTGCAATTAAAGGTTTTGCTACTACCTAAAACTCAGTAGCAGGAGTGTAAGGAATGGGATTTCTAACAGGTTTGAGATTTTTGATTTTGAATCTCTTCTCCACTATAGCAGTGAGATCACGCACACATTTAACAAACAGCACAATACACACTAGGATAAATCAACATGAAAACTGCATGGCTGGGATTGAACCACCACTTTCTGACTCAAAGACAACAGCTCTTCCTCACAGCCACAGCTGAATTATGGGATGTTCAGAAATGATGAAATCATAGCCGGAGTGTCCCAATCGAGATAACCGTTGTGTTTTTTGAATGGAGGTTTGTTTTAAATGGGAAAAAACCTGAAGTATGGTAAAGTTGGAAAGGTACCGAGGCTTATTTCCATTGCTTCTTAAGGACATTAAACAAACCTGACTCCTGGTAGCCTTGTGTTTTCTGAACAGATGTAAAAAGATGTACGCAAACTCTCGTTAAACGTTTGTATTTGTCGTGTAAAAAATGGGAAAAGGTAGAAAGATATTTGACAATGTAATTAAAATTATAACAAAAAATAATAATAAAATACAAAATGTAAGAACAATAATAATAACAAAAATGAAATAATTTCATAAACAAATTATAATGACAATAAAGAAGTTACAAGTAAAAATACAACAAATAAATAAATAAAATTAAAAAAACGAGGGATACGATAATCAGATAAAACAATAATAACTAAAATAATCATAATACTAATCAATTGAATTTATATAGAATTTATTTGAATTTATATAGAATTGATATATATTAAAAATGAATTTAACATATATATATATATATATATATATATCATCATAAATACAATATTTAAATAATAACATTTAAATTAAATTAAATAATGATATAAAACATAGTACAATCATAAAAATTAACTTGGAAAATATATATAAAGATATTTAATATCAAAGACACACAAAAAAATAAAGTAGTAAAGAAAGAATGAAATACATTGCTTTTAAAAATCATTTGTATATACAATTTGAACAAATTAATGAATTAAAATAACAAATACAATTTTGTTTTGTAAATGGGGATTTGATCTAATGATTTCAAATCAATCCGGTCTGCTCAAGCTGTTGTATAGCTCAGTGCAGGCACACCATATCTAGGTCTCTGAGAGACTTGGGATCGAATCCCCATTATGGTAGAAAAAATCTCTCTGGACATAACACATGATTAAAAAAATTAAAAGTTGCTTATAGAATGTTCACTAACATTAGGCAAATTCAATAATACATTTAAAAAACCTAAATCCTAAAAAAAAGTATCCAAAAGCAACGCTGTTTTGTTAATTTGTTAAAATAAAAAAGACAGTCTCGTCATCCTTGCTGCAGTCCAGTAGGTGGCAGCAGGCGTTAGATCTGCCAATAGGTGTGTGGAGTGAAAGAAAATGTGGAACACATCATATTCATACTGCAACATGTACAACACAGAGAGGGAAAAACGAAGAGACAGGGTCAGAGAGGCAGGAAGGGAGTGGAGCCGGCCCTGATGGGGATACTGGGAACAGAAGGTGAGGGGATAAGAGCTACCAGGAAGGCCATTCTTAAGTATTTGAGTGAAACAGGATTGATTGGACGAATTTAAAACAACGTAAACACAGTGGTATAATTCCACAAGTGGTGATACACACTATTGTACAGTAGGTGGCGGTATGCACCTTAAAGTTGTTTGCAATCCGCCAAAAAACCGAGAGAAGAAGAAGAAGTAGGTAGAGTGGGATATTTTTCCCTGGATGAAGACTTTCAGGTAGAAACATTTTCAAAGCCCTGATCAAATGTCATCTGTTTCATGCTACAGTCTATGGTTTCATTTAAATTTGACAGATCCTAAAGGGCTATATTTCAATTACATGTTGACACCTTGAGTATATTTACCGCTTTTGAAGGATAACAGTTACTGGTGGGGCCGACTAAGATGACTCGCTGCCTGAAAAACTAAACTCAGGGTATACATACGCATGTTTCGGTTTGCCTCGCTTTCACGAAGGGGTCGTTAACCACAGATCTCTGTTGTTGCTTTTACATGTTGTGGATATGGCGGCTAATAGCCAAACTGATATGGAAGCGTTTGTAAACCACTGGATAGTCGACTACTATTCAGTCCTTGCAATAGAGCTGTTTAAAACAAAGAAATACGAGGACTTCTGCGGGATTGTAACTATACTTGACGGTAAGTAACAAACTGCTCAACAGTGTTTAGTTTCTTACCCGCCAAACTATTAGCCAGCTTAATGTGTCCGACCAAGTTTGTAGTTAACTCACTTTTTTTATTTAGAGTATTTACAGTGTTTATTGTGCTTTAAAGGTATTGCCCAAAGACACAAGTATTAAGTGGTGACATTTGAATGTGCGTAACCTATAGATGGCATTATTATCTTGCAGTTAGCTCATCCATTCAGAAAGAGTCACAAAAAGTCCCATAAATGAAGCTCTGAGAAGAGGTCGTGCAGAGTTGTATAGGTCTTGCCTTTTCACAACAAACCGATTATCACATGCTATTTTTAAACAAGCAATTGTTTGGATGTCACTTTCAATGAAGCATATTGTTTGTTATTGGATTTGGAGAATAACAATAAAGGGAACTTTGGGAATGTGTAAGTCTACAGATATCTACACATCTATGTTTGCCCATCTTCTTTTATTTCTTATTTTGTATTTTACTTTTAAATGTTGTGTTTCTTTTTATTCTGTTGCTGCCTTGACACGTGAATCTCTCTACGTTGCTTATTAAAGGTCAATCTTATCTTAACTAAATATATGTAAATACATTCTGTAGCGGCTTCATATAATAAAGAAATACAACAGAGAGTTTAACTAAAAATAAACTGACTCTGGTGCACCAGTAAGAGAATCTCACGCAGGAAAATACTCAAAGTCCAGGCAGGCATGAAAAGTCGACTTTCTGTATTTATTTCATGTAATTCCAATAATCCAACAAACAATGGTTTCACCACTCTTGTGTTTTCCCTGGTACAAAAAAAACCGTTGCTCCTTCTGGTGGGCCAATCCCACCACCACCTGTCTCCAGTACATAATCACCAGTCGCCTACATCTCCCAGTAACCAAAATCACCTTCAAAATGTAAGCATAAAGAATTACTTTAATCAAATAAAACGATACAATAAATAATTATTAATTTAATATAAACAAAAACAGCTACAAATGTTGAATTTTCAGATAACATAAATCAATGTATAGCTCCAACACATTCATACCATTATCCCAGAGTTACCAGCATATCAAATGTCACATTTCCCCCTCTATCCCCCAGGTGGCCTTTTAATTACCGGTACATGCAATCGGGTTCGGAATATTTACTTTCTATTAGGGCTGCTCAATTAATCGTATTTTAATCGCAATTAAGGTATGGCTTGCAACGATTCTGAAAACAACATAATCGAAATAAAACGATTTTTTTTAATTTTTACATTATTATTTTTTAAACATTTTTTTTTATTGGTTTTTCAGTTGAATTATACTTAAAGTTCAGGGAAATCAACTGTTAAAAACATACTGTTCACATTTTTCTTTCAATAAATGGATGTTCTCAAAGTAAATGGATAATCGTTTTTAATAATCGTGATATCAATTATTGACCCAAATAATCGAGATTATGATTTTTGCCATAATCGAGCAGCCCTACTTTCTATCTGAATGTATATTATTTTAGGGGAATTAAATGTTTATCATCTTGTTACAGGTATCTTGACCCGTCCTGTTTACTCTTCCGATGTCACGCCAACAAAGATACGAGTATTGCACTTTCTCGCCCGGATAAATGAAGGGGAAAATCTTGGTGAGTTCAACCTTGTTGCATATCATCAACGTAACATTAACTTTGTCAACAAATGTGTGTTGCTTCATTTCATTTAGTAGTAACGAAGTATATCATCTAGGTACAACCCCGACGGCAATACATTGTTCTGCAATAGTTCAACTAAATGTTGTTTGACATTGTCTTATCAGCCTCATATTCAAGGTTTTTACCTAAATCTGTAATACAACTAGCATATTGTGACTAAAACGCGATTCAAATGTTTTATCGTCATGACATATACAAAGCTACGGTGTAATTATGTAATGTTTGAAAAACGTAGATTGCAGGTTTCTCAACCATGCAATTTAAGACATAAGACAACAACAGTAAGCTCAGGTGTTCAATATTCTTGTGGCCTGTGGGATGAAACTGTCGCTGAGTCCGGGGAATTTAGTCCTGATGCTGCGGTAACGCCTGCCAGACAGCTGGAGACTGAACAGTTTGTGGCTGGGGTGATGGGGGTCTTTGATAATCCTGTGGGCTTTTCTTCCTGAGCCGCTGGGAGTAAAGATCCTCCATGGATATTAGCTCCGCCCTGGTGAACACGGTGCCATCAGGTCCAGGAGCCTTGGGTGAAGATGAACCTTTTGAAAGGATCTTCACACATCTGCCCTGTCTAAAACAAAAGGGCAGGGCTCCTGGGCCGCCTGTGCCTCCACAGCAGTGACTACATGTTTGCCTTTGTCTACAGAGGTGGTATTTGAGCAGGACTCGTCAGTATCTCCTCTGGAATCGGCCTTAAAGGTGCTGGAAAGTATGGCGAAGGACTGCTGCACACCACTGCCAGAGAGGGATTTCGATCATGCAAGCGCTTCACTTAAAGAGATGGTAAGTGGGTTTCTTTTGTTATGATAATATGACTTTCTTTAGGCGGTGTAGTCTGATTTGATTTAACCACCTGTTTGTTTTTGTTTTTTTATTAGATTGTGAGCTTGTTTATCAAAAACGATGAGTTTGACAAGGCAAAGGAGGTGCTCAACAAACACTTTCCTAAACCAAGGGTGGGCAAGGTTAGTAAATGAAATAGAATGGCATGTTTACTGAATAATATCATAACTGTGTTGGAGTCAAATCAGCAGTATAGTCCTCTCTCTCTGTTGTAAATCCCCCTGCATTTTTTGGCCTTAAGTGGGATCAGGTGTGGCCTGGTAGGTGGAGGCTAAGCCCCGCCTCCCACAAGACCAAAAAAGGCAGGGGGATTTACAACACTTTCAATGTCACAGGGTTTTCAAAGGATGCCCAAGTTGGATTTGCTTTTAAAGTTCCAAAGAGCAATTGACTTGGTTACATACTTGGTTACATACTTGATTACGTACTTGATTACGTACTTGTTTACGTACTTGATTACGTACTTGTTTACGTACTTGATTACGTACTTGTTTACGTACTTGATTACGTACTTGATTACGTACTTGATTACGTACTTGATTACGTACTTGTTTACGTACTTGATTACGTACTTGTTTACGTACTTGATTACGTACTTGATTACATATTTGATTACGTACTTGATTACGTACTTGTTTACGTACTTGTTTACGTACTTGATTACGTACTTGATTACGTACTTGATTACGTACTTGTTTACGTACTTGATTACGTACTTGTTTACGTACTTGATTCCGTACTTGATTACGTACTTGATTACGTACTTGATTACGTACTTGGTTACGTACTTGTTTACGTACTTGATTACGTACTTGATTACGTAGAGTTACACACCTCCATAGAGGGTAATTCATGTCTTCTGTTTAGTCTTTAGCTGTGTGTCTGTCAACACATTTACCTACATTATCTGTTTTCGGAAAGTGTGGAGACTTGCACGTATAGTGATCTGAGGCGCTACCAAAAGAATGGAAGATTAACCAACATAGGGCTGCACGATATTGGAAAAAACTGACATTGCGATTTTTTTCCCCCTGCGATATATATTGCGATATGAAAAATACAGGAATTGAAGAAAATACTGGGGGTTTTTTTTCCTCAAACCATCCTTTCTTGAACTTTAATGCTATACAATTGGTATTTTTTTAACTATATTTAACCGGATGAAGGATTTTAGTCACGGACGTCTGGATCTTAAGTTATCAGAGCAACAAGCTGAGCTAGCTCGGTTAGCAGCGCAGAACTGCCCTGGAGAAAAACATGAAACGACTTTATTTACCTTTAATCACCGTCCGTTTGCTTTGGAGATGTGATTGGTGGTTTGCTGTGCATGCAGAGCCTGCATGATGTCACTCACTCAAGTACTCCTGAAATGAGAGCAAGTTTTCCTGTTGTAGCAAGCAGCAAAATAATTGTAACATGACGTGTTTGAGTAAATTACCTAACCCAAAAAAATCGCACGCCCACGCGATGTGAATATCGCACATGCGCATATCGCGATTATCGTCATGACACGATATATCGTGCAGCCCTAAATCAACAGTCTTTTCTCCTAAATGACATCTTTCTAAATGAGATTCAAATAAATCCACACACAACACTTAAAGCGTGTTGTTTGCTTAATTGTTGATGATGTATGGTATACCAACAATGAACATGTCAAATGTAATCAGGCTATTATTATATATAGATAATATATTCTTATTAATAATTTTTTGTGGTAATTTTCATTTTCGAACAAAGAAATAAAGATGTTTATATAGTGTACAATGTCGAGCCATAACTTCCATTATTACATTACATTCATTTCTAGTTGCATGTTTATACATTTTGTAGATCATACTGAAACTATACATCATTTGGTCTGTAATGACTTTGAGCAATCTTTCTGTGTATGCTATGTGGTTCGCTTTCTTTAACGTCGCTGTGTTCTATAGAAAGCTGTATTCACTCGGCTGATCAATCAGAAGAGCAGAACGCATGAAGTCATCGAGCACATCGACTTCCAGAGTTTTAGGGAGGAGATGTTTGACTACTGCCAGAGTCTCTTCAGCGACGTTCCCTTTCTCCTCAGGGTAGGTGACATGCAATTAGCACAATGGCCACTAATGATTTCAATTTCAAAAGATTAAAAGATTTTTTTGATTTCAACAAATAATGAAATGGTTTAGTCAATACAATTTGTTGGTAAAGTCAATGTGTGTGTATAATGATGTTTTGTTTATCAGGCTGCAACACGGATTATTGAAGAGAAAAGGCTCAGGGATCAAGTAGCGAAGGCAGCTGGACCTGATGAGCAAGAAGCAGCAGGCCCGTCCTCTGCTCCACAAATACACAGCTTCCATTTTACTCCAGGGTAGGCTCTCATTCACTCTGTGTTCATTTCAAACAAGCTCAACATTACTGTCAAGTGTTCAGATGACAAATCTCTCTGTCAAATAAGCCCACCTCTGAGAGAGACACGCGTCACTAAATCAGTTCTCTTCCAGTATTTGAAGGGATAACAAACATTGAGATCCCCTAATTATTAGACATACTTGCCTCATTTAATAATAATAATAATACATGGGATTTTTATAGCGCTTTTCCTGATGCTCAAAGAAAACAAGAACAACCGAAACAATACAAAGATGACCAGACCCATATAACCATATATTATTACTTTGCGTACCCGATCCAAGTTGTGTTTGGTTGTAATATGTGTAGCGTTCATTACAGCTGTTGTGTGTACAAGGACAGATGTTTCCACTATACTTTAAGAACCTTTCCCATTCCAAGCTAATGTGCCCTTTTTATTCTAGATACCCTGTTCACTCTCTGTTTCTTGTCTCTGTTTCATTTAACAGTAAACAGACAATACTCCAGAGGACCAGACTGGAGGCAGCCTTCAAGGCGTTGTCTACATGTTCAGATGACAAAACATTTGCTCAGCTGGAGGAAGAAGAAGAGGAGGAGGAAGAAGAAGAAGAAGTGGAGGAAGAACAGGAGGCAAGAAATGATCTTTCCCTGCGCCTCTCACCCTCTCCAGAACAGGAGACCAATCAGGACCCGGAGCCGGACGGGATATTTCAGGGAGATTCGGGCAGCCCCATGGAGGCTTCCCCAACCGACCAAACACTTCAAACACATGTTGTTCCTAAAGCACAGGCAGAATGGCTCTCAAAGACTTCCTCAGTGCTGAGAAACAAGCCTCTTTGGACTGTGGCACGACTGGTGGTGGAGCCGGACAGCCAGGTCAGCTCACCGGCTTCACAGGAAGTGGAGACAGAAGTCATAACAGAGGAGCCTCCACAGCCCCCGGCTGCACCCGATAAATCAGCAGAGCAGAGCGTGGTAACGGTTGATGAGGATAGCCCACCTGTGCGGAAGCTACGCAGACGAGAAAGCAACATCTGCAGCAGGTATGTTAATCATATTTAGTTTTTAGAAATGATTTGTTGAAAAGGAAATCACAGAATCTTTATGTCTCATTTTCAAATCGAGTCAAAGTGGGGCTTAATCAAATGTGAGACCGCAGCAGATATTAATTGCAATGGTTTTACATTTATTGCTTTTTGAGAAATATGTGTAAACATGTCAATAATAAATAGTTGCTTAAATAGTTGTCGTACTGTGCTCAGTGTGTGTACGTTTTTAAATGTCAGTGAGAACACATGAGAAGTACACACGTGTTGTTTAAAACGGTCAAGGACTTTGCAAAGTTATAGAATATGATGGACAATGCAAAGCATGATTGAAACTTTGAAAGTCCCTTTTTCTAGATATTTCTTGACTGAGTCTGAACTCTCATCATCCAGAAAGTCAGAACCGTTATCATCAGACAGTAATGAGGAACCACAGGAGTCGCCCGCTCCCTGCAAAGCCCCAGTGCGGAAACCTCTAACAAAAGAGGCCAGAGTTGTTCTCCGCAAGCAAGTTGAAATGTGCTCATTTGTCGTTATTTGATTGATTTGTCTCAATTGATGACATTCGATTAACTTTCACGTAACTATGCAGGGTTCCAGATGAAATCTGTATCCGAGATTCTTCATTGGACAGCTCACCAGAACTGTACCCTACTCACCCTGTCCCTCAGAAAAGCTCTACTCCTAACAAGGACTCTGCTCGGGAAAAAGGTCCTACACACTCAAAATGGTAAGTAAATAGTACAGCAGAGGCTCAACCTATGAATACATTCACTCACCTGTTGTGAATACATTCTGGCCATACATGCTACCGCACAAAAAGGTGCACATTTATAAGTGAAACGTGTTTGTTTTCTTAAGGTGTGGCCATTATGTTTTTCCAAGCTGTTAAATTACCCGAGGTAAGAAACTCTGCTCTTGTTTACAGGAAAGTGCTGTACACTAACGCCAAGGAGAGTAGGGATACATGGAGCGATGAAGAGACATATTTCAGCGCCAAAAAGAACACAGGTAACATTTGAGCAAATATCCGGCAGTGGGTCAGTTAGTAGGGGCGCCAGTTCAAGTCCCCGAACGGACATAAAATATGGAGTGTGGACTGCTACTTGGAGAGGTCCCAGTTCACCTCATGGGCCCTGCCGTGGTGCCCTTGAGCAAGGCACCGGACAACCCCCTCTGCGCTGTACAATAGCTGCCCACTGCTCCTACTACTAGGATGGGTTAAATGCAGAGGCCAAATTTCACTGTGTGTGCTCTGCATGTGTGACCATTAAAGAGGGGTTTCCCTCCGATTCTATCTGCTTTTACTTTAAATTGTAAATTGTGAACAATCCTGTTCATGCAGTAATTTGTTTTTGCTTCCCCCTAAAGGATCGAAGAATCAAAGCTTAAATCGGACACTTCCAAGCCACAGAAAGATGGTGAGCATAACAATACACGGTCAGGTCATAAAAGCACCAAGGCAAGCAGACTGGATTGCATTATCATTTAAAAAATAAAACAAAGCTGAGTAACTGTGTTCCTGTTGTGTTGCAGAAGTGGGGTGAAGAGGAGACGCAATTGTTAATAGATGGGGTCAAAAAATTCGGAGAAGGCAACTGGAGTAAGATAAAAACGCATTACTCCTTCAAAGAAAGGTCAAATGTCAGCCTGAAGGACCGATGGAGAACAATCAAGAACTTAAAAATGGTTTGAGTATGTAATCCTGTCTCCAGAATGGAATCATGTTTAAAGATACTGTTATAGAATTCATGAGTTTGTAGTTCAATAAATGTTCAGATTTTAATTTAAGATTGGTTTTTGTATTTTAAAATAAAAAACTGCAATGGTGACTGATACGCATTTTCACTGCAGGCCTCTACACAGTCGCACGCTCAACAAGACAAATGAATACAAATATGTTATGGATTTATTTGAAAGAGGACATTTACAAAAGAAAACACATTTTCTCTTAACAGGAGCCTCTATGACTAGCTAATTCTGTGGACAGAGGGTTTTCATGTCAGTCCGTAGGCTGCGTTTGAAATATGGAGGAGTTGAGACATCGGCTATTAAAGTGCCCCTGAACCAGGCCTTAATATCCAACCACTCAGTTAAGAAAACATATTCTTGGGGAGAATACTAGTAGCGGTGACTGGGTGTAAAATGACAAAGAAAAAGGGCATTTGACAGTTCAGCTGTTACTTCTTTATGTTAACGTGTCTTCATTCCTGATGAACTCTCCTACGTCGGCCTGGTGGAACACTACGATGGACATGGGATCCACTCGCCGACACTCCTGGGTAGTTTTGGCTGCCACTCCAAAACCCTGAGAAATAAAGACGCATTACTGGTTAGGAAATCCTCTCTTTGAACAATGGCAAAGTCTGTCGTATGATGTTGAGCTGCTCTAGCAAATATGTATTCTGAGCATTTAGTATGTTTGGTAATATAAGATCCAGGAGTGAGGCGTTGAGGGGAAGACATTAAACTGATGGCAGCACCTTTTGATATTGCAGTGGTTTGCAATGTAAATTTTCAGCACAAGTGCTATAAGCCCTCAATACTGTAAATGGCTTTCTGCGAGAGAATAATCACTAAATGACCTCATCCTATATCAATTGTATTTTTTCTAATCAACCAAGCATTAGAATACAGGTGACATGTATGCACAAGGACCAGATGCACGGGGTTAAGTGTTCATTCATTTGTGAAATAAGTGATGATGTTATTGGTTGTGCCTTAGCATTCTAGCAAGAGCACAACTCAGAGAATATAGTGGGTAGGTCAATCTTATCGATTCCAATATATATGTGTCAACTTTGAGCGTTCTTGTTTCCTGAAAGATTGATCATTCTGGTTAATTAAACCATGTTCTAAAAAGTGTTAAAATAGAAAAAAGGGGTGAGGTCCAAAAGATATTGATTTCTGACAGAACTCCCGTGTGCACCACAGTAACAAATCTTACCAGGGGCACATCCGTCATGGAGTAGACCACGACTCCCTGGTACTGCATCGTGTTCTCTGTGATTCTGCCAAGCCCGGATTTCAGCACATGGTTCCCGTAGAGAAAAGACTGCTCCTGTCCAGGTTTCACCCATACCTTGAACTTAAAAGACATGACAAGAAGCTTAAAGTTATATATTCAATTCTTTAGAAAAAGATATGCAGGTACACAATACATTTCCAAACTAAATTAGAGATTATCAAACAGTATTAAATAACAAACTGTTAGATTAACCTGCATTTACCACTCTACTATGAATTTAACCGGGCAAGTGACTTCCTATATTTGTGTGACACAGGACAGAGGTATGTTTTAGAGAAGTTCAGTATGACAGTAGCTGGTGTGACATGCAGTTTACAAGTGTCAAATGAGAGTAAGTATGAGAACTGCAGCTGGACCATCAGGTTGGCCTCAGTTAATCCACTGCTCTTCCTATAAATGTATTTGACATTTATGCAAATGTATGCACTACTGAAAAGGATGCACCACTTCACTAAACATTTGCATGGCTTTAATTTCTCCTTACTGCATCTCTTAATCCAAATTTAATTCACAAGGTCTTATGAGAGAGGAGGAAATGCAAACGATGTAGGGCAAGATACAAATAAGAAAAATGGAAACCCATTCACCTTTGCATAGGGCGCCAGGAAATCCAGAGCTGTGATGTGCAGGCGGAATTTAATGGACTTTGTGAATTTTCCAAAACATGTTCCCACTGAAACGAGCTTATCCCGGGAAATGTTTGTGGCCAACTTAAGAATTTTCTCACTGTGGACAAAACACGAGGGTATATGAATTTCAGAATGACTTCAGGATATAGCAGAACATGAAACGTAATATATCGTAGATTACCTCATATAGTACACACGCTCGTTGTGTAGTCTGAAACAGTAGGAACCGTCAGGTCGGTCAACTAGAAGTTTAATGTTGTCTCCGATGCTGTTGTGGGAGAAAAGACATGGCTTACTACAAAACACACGCAGGCTAACACGGATGCTACCATTTTTAGTATAATAAGAGTTCTAATAAGCAGGTAAAACCGCCCTCTTGGTCAACTTACTATTTTGACAGCTTCTCAAACATAACTTTCGTCTCTTCATCTGTAAGTGGCCTCATACTGAATATTTTTAAAGCAACCTTTATCCACGAATACTTGTATCTTCTGTGAGAAAAACGTGGGTAAGCACGGAAGTCGTCAGTAGTTACACCGGAAGTTGGTTGACGTCATCAGGGAGGTAGTTCCTGGTTGTTTTTTTCTTTAGCTTTCAGTCGATCGTTCGCTTTTACTCCTGCAAACCGGTTGCCATCTGGTAAGTTTATTCACATACATTCATAAAAACTGTTATTTACGCTATAATTATACAGCTGGAAAACCGCTACTTGAACACTAATTGGTTTTACATTTCGTTTTTGTTAAACATTGAAGTCACACCTTCGAAATCGGGGTCGGTTAGCCTGGTTAGCTAGCTGTCAGTGGAAAAAAACACGGACCTGCTGCTATTGGTGAGCTAACTGTGTTAGCAGCTGACAATGCTAACGCTGGTTCGCTTCGGGAAACGACCCTGTTCCACTTAAGCGTTTCACATTCAAATCCATTCTGAAACAATGGGATGTCACAAGTCTCTTTATTGAGTCTCGCCCGGTCGTGATTTTTTTTCGGACCCGCGGTTTGAAGAGGAGAGTCTTTGCCGCAGCGGTGCAAGTTACATAACGTTAATTTGTTTTAAATGTACGTGTTTGTGATCCAAAACACAGGCTTATAAACTCACCAGTCAACCTGATGCAACAATGTACCTGCAATGGACAGTAACAGCGCAATGTCAGCAATGTGTAATGTCAGCCAGAGTTGGCTACAAATAAGGAAATCTACTTTGTCAGCGAGCTCTTTGCACTTGGCGGATAATTTGATCCTCCTCTCTGGCAGCAATAATAGCCGATATAAATCCCTGATCTTGTTTTTCAGATGCTGCCAAGTAAAGTTATACCAGGCTAAACGATTGTTTCCACTAAGAGGACATTTCTCGAAGTATCTGATACTGCTTCAGTTCAGTCATACATAAAACAATTGAAATTGTTCATTTATAAAGAACTAAAATGTGGGATAGCCTTAAAGTACAGCTGCCAAGATTCGTGGATTAGTTGTCAGCTATATATTTTGTCATTTTTTTTGAAACAAACAAAGTCTGGATTCTCAGATTGTAGCTTTTGAAATGTTCAGATGTTTGGTTCTCTGTGCCAGTAAGGAGTTGTGGACTAAAGAAGACTTGAGGATGTCATATTGGGCTTTGGGAAACACTGATAAACATTTCTGACAGACATCAAATGGAAAGAAGATGAATCAACTAAATAATAGACGGATTAATCCACAATGAAAATAATGTTAAGCAGTTTCAGCCTTACATTAAACTTAATTGATCTTTAGTTGTCTACGGTGAACCTAGGATGCAACTGTTTCTCACCTGTGATGTGTAATACACAACATAACTTTGTTGGTATTAACAACATATGCAATTTCAGTCATTTGATGCCCAAGATTTTATTTTCTTCATTTTCTTTTATGTCCTATTAATGGAAAAAGTCTCTGTATTATTTCCTCTCCAGGGAAATATTAATTAAAATGAATGCTGTATCAAAGCTACAGTGCTATAGACGGCATGATGACAACTACATTAAGGGCTGATCAGAGGCTATGTAAGCACAAGGTTGTATGCAAACACTTTATTGTTTACGCAAGACTACAAACGCAAAGAAAGGTTAAACATTGATCACTTCAATCCGTGTTCAAAGTAGGTGTCGGCTCGGCATCCCACATGGAAACGTTCAGAAAACATTGACCCAATTCCTTCTATTAAAAGATTGTAAATGATGTTTCATGTTGTTCAACCTATTACACCATGTGAGAGTCAGAATACATGCAATGTATATATATAGTAAATGTTTGTCAAATTAAATGCAAATATGAAATAAAGCATATTTCTCTAAAAGAGCGAGCTGCTTTTAGATTTGACCTGATTATCTGTGTTTCCCCCAGAAGAGAGAGTCCCTCTAATCGCACGTCACGCCTCATAATTGACCTTCTTATTATTGTTATCAGGTGGTTTACCACTACTTTAACTTAGAACATTAGACCTGTATCCAACACCAACGTAGCTTTCACAAATCACTGTCTGCTTGAGAAGAGAAACAAAGAAGTCACATTATGTTTAACCGTGAAAATAATGACAAATATTTCTTCGAAGCTCAGCATTCAATGAGAAAATAACAGATGTGTTCTTTCCTAAACAGGAGCGTGCTGCCCTTTGTTGGGAGGACATTTCTCGTGCCAACGGTTTGCCCCAGAGAAGCCAGTGTTCTGTCTGTCATCAGTTTCCGGCGTGTGTCTGCCTCTGGTAACACTGAACAGGAAGACAGGCGCACAGAGACGTCTGAGCAGAGAGAGGAAACTGCTGCGGCTTCTTCGTCGGCCTCAGAATGACTGAGTTCTGGGTTTGCTTCAGCTGCTGCATTGCAGAGCAGCCACAGCCTGTGAGTACGAATGTGGAACTTGGAAGATACATTGATTTACTCAATCTTTAATGTAGAGGCATTGCTGACCTTGTGGAAAACGTCTATGAAATGCTGTTTCAAAATAATATAGGTGAATGAATAGAGCAGTATATGGTGTTTTCAGTGTACTGGCCAGTATGTTTTCCATGTTAATGAAGATTTGAGAAGTAAATACTCCCCATGCCGAGATCAAGTTCCTTAAAATGTGTGGTTGGGTCATGCCTGAAATATGACATCGTCTTTTAAAAGAGATTTGGGCCTTCAGCTCACCACATCCTGCTTTCTGACGTGAGAATGACAAATTAAATAAGCTTTGCCATAGTGACAGCCACTCGTTGTGCCTCACTGTAGTCTGCCAGTGTGTTTGCTAACAGATACGGTAACAGGGATCATGATTGTCTCGTTTCAGCGCAGGTATATTAATCTGCTTATGAATACAAATGTGTACAGGAGAGGAATGAGCACACTCTTTCTTTAGGCTGATGTTTGCCTCTTCTCAACCCTCACTGAAAAGTAATATAGCCTTGAATGTATAAAATGGTGGTAAGACTTAGAGCTCCCTGCCTGTCAGTGGTCTATAGTATTTTGACTATACCTGAAACTTGACAAAGTGGTAGTTAAAAAAAGTACCAGGCATGTACCATCCACAGCTTTTTCAAATGGATATAAAAAAAGAGTGAGTTGAGTGGAGCCATAACATGCAGTGGAAACATGTCCTTTTTTACTAGGGATGCTCCGATCGACATCGGCCGATATTCACTCTCTGCCGATCGATCGGTGCAAAACAAGCTCGCCAAAATGGCTTCACCGGTCTGGCAGTATTTTAAGGTGTCCGAAAAAGACAGTAAAATAGCGGTATGCAACGTGTGTGAAGCAGAAATCCTGCAGCTCCGCCCGCTGTGACGGACCGGTGAGCGGAGCGNCTGTGCAAAACAAGCTCGCCAAAATGGCTTCACCGGTCTGGCAGTATTTTAAGGTGTCCGAAAAAGACAGTAAAATAGCGGTATGCAACGTGTGTGAAGCAGAAATCCTGCAGCTCCGCCCGCTGTGACGGACCGGTGAGCAAAACACACTAAGAGTTANGAAAAAGACAGTAAAATAGCGGTATGCAACGTGTGTGAAGCAGAAATCCTGCAGCTCCGCCCGCTGTGACGGACCGGTGAGCGGAGCGGAACACACAAGAGTTAGACCTAACACACTTAGCTATTTGATCTACCTCTGGAACAAGCTAAACTAGTTATAAATGTATGTATTAGTCACTGTCCGGTCACTCATTACTGGATCAGTGAGCTGCATGAGACGGTACTGACTTTTTTTACTGTTCTTTTTTTATTGAGCATTACTTAGACCAGCGGTTTTCAAAGTGTGAGGCGCGCCAGAGAGCTTCAGGGGAGGCGCAGCGTGAGAAAAAAACAACGAGAAACAGTGAAATCTACCTGGTTAACTTCAGCTAACTTTATGCGAGCGGCAACATGGATAGATTTTTAATGAAATTACCTAAAGTGAAAGAGGAGACGTCAGCTTTGTTTTTGAAATAAAAGTTGTGGCTCATCAGACATTTATGAGAGAAAGTCCCTAAGACGCGAGCCTTGTAACCCCTCCCCCGGCT